TCACTAAATCACAGACTTCATTAGAAATTTACCAGTTTTGCCACCAGTGCATTTTCTGTTTCAGGATGTTATTTCTGATCTCACATTTAGTTTTTATTTTACTTTAATCTCTTCCAATCTATAACAGTTCTTTAATTTTTCCTTGCTTTTCATGACCTTGAAACGTTTGAAGAGTACTGATCAGTTTTTTTGTTGAATATCCCTTAGTTCGGGTTCGTCTTATGATTTCTCATGATTGGAATGAGTTTAGTATTTTTGGCCAAAGCAACACAAAAATGCCACTATGTTTTTCTTTGTGCGTATCAGGAGATTTATGATAATGATATGTGTTACTACTGACTGGTGGTATTTACTTTGGTGGCTTGGTTGTTTGTGCCTGTGGAGTTTCTACACATGAAAGTTACTACCTTTTGATTTGCAGTTGATAAATGTTTCAGGGAGATACTTTGAGACTGCAAATCTTTCATCTCCTCAGACTTTTGCCCACTCATAACATTGATTCATGGCTCTTATCTGCAACATTCATTATTGTGTATTTGCCTAATGGCGTTTCTCTTTTCTTATGTTTATTTGATTGAGATTCAAACTTGAGGAAGAACTGTCTCATCTCTAACATTTACTTATTTAATTATTTGTATTAGTATGAAATCATGAATATTTATCTGGTCCCATGGATTAAAGTCCAAAAGTATTTATCATTGTTCATTTTGTTCTCAAATTATTCCAGCTTTAGTTGTTAGGAGCTCCTATAGGTTGGTTCCTTCCTGTATTCTTATATCCCATCATTTTTTCAGCATTTCATTACTTTCGGGCAACACAAAATGTTCTGTGGCATCTTGTATTTTCACTACTACAGCCTTGCTGGAGGAGGGCTTGAGGAGCCCAAGTTCCTTTTACTAGAGAATAGTGGTTAGAAAGCAAGATTTGGGCCCAAATGTTTATATTGTTACTAAGATGTCATTGCTCCTAGGCCCTCTTGGTGGAAATTTTTACATAAATAGTAACTACATTACAAATGAATAATAATCATACTGAATGGGGAGGTTAAAGATTAACTTAATGTTTATTAAAATGTTTATTTTAGGTATTTATAAAACTAGTAAATTTATTCAATGCATAGATTGTATTAATACAGGCATGTATTACGGCTATTTTTTGAAGATCTTAGAATGGAAGGTAATTGTAATGTGTCTTCTAGTTTGTTAATTGCATTTAAAAAGTAGAGGGATTAACTAAAAAGGCGATGAAGTTAACAGTGAACAGTTTGACACATATGAACTGTGAGGTGTTTGAAGTAATGAAAGTTAATGACAGTGGGAGATTTCAGGGAGGAAGAGGACAGGACTGTGAATGGCCAAAAGTAGAAAAAAAGTCACGATTGATAATGCATTATGATCTAGTCTGTTATTACCTAGATTTAGAAATCAGGAGGATTGTTTACTCAGTGTTTGTCTTTGTTGTTAAGAAAACAGGAGAGCTCAGTTAAGAAATAGATAACCATATTTTAGTCGATCATTTTGCTTATTTTTTGTTATATAAGTTAACTTGTATTATTTTTATACGTTTGTGTATTAGTTCCAGCTGCCATAACAGAATACCACACTTGATGGCTTAAGCAACAGGTATTTATTTTCTCACAATTCTGGAGGCTGCAGGTCTGAGATAGGGTTCTATCTAGCATGGTCAAATTCTGGTGCAGACTCTTCCTGGTTTATGGACAGCTGCCTTCTTTTTGTGGTCACACTGTGGCCTTTCCTCAGTGCATAAGTGTGGAGAGAGATCTCTCTCTTCTTCTTAAAAGGCCACCAATCCTATCCATTTAGGACTCCTTCCTTTTGATGTCAGTTAACCCTAATTAACTCCTAAAAGTCCTATCTCCAAATACAGTCCCATTGGGGGGTTAAGACGTTAACACATGAATTTTAAGAGGAATTTACTTTACTCCATAGTAATTTGGATGATGTATTTTTTGTGTTCCTATATTTTAACTTAATAGGTTTATATTAGGTCTTTGTTTTGACAGAGGATAAAACTGTGCTCATTCTCAAGATAATTTGCCATGGTAAATTGAGATATGACAATATATAGTATACACTATTGCTTTTAGAGCAGGAAATATGCTCTTGTAAATGGAGAGTACTGAGAAAGTGCTGTAGGATCATTGGACTATATTCTAACATTGTCCTCTGCCTTCTAGTCAACTCTCCATATAGCATGGCCTTATTTTAGCCTTGACTATAACTTCTTTCAGCAGTTTTCATATAGTTTTTGTAAATTCTAGTAAATTGCATTGAAGTAATGTTGTTCTACCCTTGGAAATGAAGAAAAAGATTTCTTCTAATCACCAATGGACTGTTGATTTTGATTCTGTTTCTTAAACCATTTTCTTAAAGAATTTAGAACTGTAGTAATAATTGATATTAAAGATCCAGATAAATTCTATTCCTCTGTTTGCAGCAACTTCAGCATTTTTCTAAAAAGAAAAAGAAAAATGGAAGAAGTGTTGCATTCTGCACTGTGTCCTGGTAGAGCACCTTCAGATTACGATGTCATGGTATCAGCTCTCATTAGCTCAGTGTTTGTGATAGCAGTTGTAGCACAGGAGAAAAATTTCAAGGTTAATGGTTATAGTTTTACATATTTTAAGGAAAATGATTAAAAGAGAAATAGTGTTACAGTATATGTTATGTTAATGTTACAGGGAATTAGTTATGTCTGGCATGACATAATAGTATATGAAGATAGGTAAATTTCAGCCATTTTTGTTTATGTCCCTTCAAGGGTATTGCACCAAACCTGTTAGAGGTGTTTCCCACAAGGACATCTTTTGTGTTGGGTTTAGTCACAGGAAGATCCAGCAGGGTATTAGCAGTTGCATCTTGGTGAATAAGGGAAGCTATAATGAGAATAGAAGCTGAGAAAGTAGAAAGCTTCTCTTCTACAGAGACAAACCCAACCCATAAATAGGAAGTGAATAAGGCTGTAAATAGATATGGATTAGGGAAAACTATTGGGACTGAGGACAGGACAAATGTGAGATTGTCAGGTACCTATTTTTTTTATGTGGCACCAAAATGGTGGTGTCATGGCCAAATAGGGGCAGTAAAGCTTGTCAAACACTCTGGCGAAGAGAAAATTTAAAGCCAGAGAACCACTGTTTTATCTAACATTATTATTATTATTATTTTTATTATTATTATTATTTGGCTTGCAGTGTTTAGAAAAGTCTGTCTTAACTTGGGGTCATCATTGTTACTGGTTTTACTTCCCAAATGGTAATTACTACAAGATTAGGAAGGGATACAAGTTCACAGAGATAAAAACTTTGAGCTTTTTTATCTGCACATGTTCTTAGAAACATTGGAGACATTTGCTAGTTACCTTCTGTTGGAATTTGGAATTGTCAAAGAAGTGTGAAGGGTCTGAGATTTTAACCACAGTCTCACGAATGCTGGCAGAAGACATGAAACTCATGGGTCAGAGATAAAGGACTTAATTATTCATGGCACAGCAAGCTGCTTGAATTTCATGTTCAGGATGGTTCTTCTAGCCCCACAATTCTCATAAAGGTGATATGAGTGGCCCAGGTGGATCTGCACTCACAGTAGGTTTTTTTAATCACAGCTGAGGAACCCCAAACTTAGGGAACCTTAATATTTTATAATAGTCTACAAGCTATCTGCCTGACCTTTGCTCCAGAGGGATATAACATCATGATATACTGGATGGTAAACAGGCTCACTGCTCTGGAGGGAGACAGTTATCTCTGTTTCTCAAGGCTGTTTCCTAGAAGTAACTTTGAAAAGATGACAGTCAAGCCTCTTTTTGGAAACTGTAGAAATACAAGAGACTCATGGAAAATTATCTCCTAATTCTAAGTGCTTTAATATGAAAAGTCCTTGAGCCCTGAGTGTTCTTAGCTTTTGTACTCTGGTTTTCCCAGCTTTTAAATCAGGAGTTGGCAAACTTTTTCTGTAAAGGGATAAATGTTAAATTCTATTTTATGTTTTGTGAGCCATGTGATCCTGTCATGACTACTCAACTTGGCAGTTGTAGCAGGAAGGCAGCCATAGATAATATGTAAATGGATGAACTTGGCTATATTCCAATAAAACTTTCTGGCATTGAAATTTGAACTTCATATGATTTTCACACAGGAAAATAGATTTTTCAACCTTTTATAAACCTAACATCCATTCTTTAGTTTGGATCATACAAAAATGGGCGGTATGGCAAATTTGGCCTGTAGGCCATAATTCACCAAAAGGTTTTATATGATGAATTTTTAAAATATGTTGTTTTAATATAGCAGTCTTGCATATGAGAAATATAATTAACATTTTGTAGCAACTGATAGTTCTAAAGTGTTTGCTCATAAGTTATTATCCCAATTTAGCTTCAGAGTAAACTTGAAAGATAGGCATTAGTATTATTATTTTATGGTGAGGAAATTAAGACATTAGAGAAGGGAGATGACCTACCCAAATTCATCAAACTAGTTCAGTGACAGAGCCAACACTGATTATATTCTGGATTCTTTCCTCCATAATATGGAGCATTAGTGTCTTTAATACTAACTTGTTGCCAGAATGCTTAGAGTTCAGTCTTATACATAATAATGATAATGATACATGCTTATTTCTGATTTTCTTTATGACTACATTCACCTCTCTTGCTATTTTAATATTTGATAAATGGTATTTTGTCAGAAGCTAGATATGGGAAGTGAAGGGCATTTGTTGTAAAGTTTGGTAAAGATTTGGCACTCAGACAGTAAAGTCATTCATATGCTATATTTTTTCCCACACTTTCAAAGATACTCGTTAATTTTATTTTCAGGTGTATGCTATAGAAATAAACAATAAAGACCATCTCCCCCCCAATCATTTGTGTTCATTAATGTTTTAATTTATCTAGTAAGTTTTACCCAGATTTTTAAACTCTAAGATGTTGAGAACATCTTCTATAATAATGTACTTCTTGAATTGCTTCCCTACTAGGTGGTTGAGGATTATGCTGGAAGATGGCAGGTCCCTTTGCCACAGCTTCAGGTTCTTCAGACTGCACTCTGCTGTTTTACATCAGCCAGTGTGTCATTCCCAGATGAATGTGAGCACGTACAATATGTTTTGAGTAGTCTTGCTTTGTAAGTATTCTTTAATTGTTATGAAAGTATTGTTTTTCTTGATGTACTCGAGGGCTGGATTTTGATTATTTTCTCTGTGAAAGGACTCTTTCCTAAAGTGTTTTCTCAAAAAGAAACTTTGATTTTTTTCATTTAAATATTTAGGAATAATTTTGAACATTTACCCATAGTTTTACTTTTGGTTTAGAGTTAAATGAAATTATTGTATAGATTCTTAAGGTCACTATGAGCACTTTACTTTTTAATTCCCTAGATTACGTTGACTCTAATGGTAAGTCCCAGAATACAGCAATTGAGGCCATCATAGTTAGCAGAGGGATCTTAAATCAGGCCAGAAAGAGGTAAGGACTTGTGGTTTTTAAAATGTGGTTTTTAAAAACTTGTGGTTTTTAAAAATACTTAAAGAGGACTTCAAGTTAAAGATCACAAACTGAGCATTTGTGTTTATCCTTTTTGCCCTCCTAGATCCTATTAAAATTATAGTAAAGAAATAAAAGGGAGAAATACAATGAAAGGAAAACAGAAAAGAGTCATCACTGAATGAAAAGATTTCAGTAGTTTTCTGGGGGATAGAAAACAGGAGTGGCCATTGAAACATGGCAGAACAAGTTACAATATTTGTGTTTGGGGAGGGGTATACTCAAACTGCACTCATATCACAATAAATGGTATGTGAGATCATTTCTCAACATCACAAAATATAATAGAAAAATATCACAGTACATCTCAAGGGATAAGTATTATTTTGTGAAACTTTCATGTATTTTTATATATGTGTATATTTGAGTATTTATAAAGTTTATAAAACATTTTTTGAAACTGGGTAGCAGTTAAAACACAATTATCCTCTGCCTTATAATATATGAGGAAGACAGTCTCTTGCCTCTCTTCCCCTAGAATCCTGGAGAGGTGTAAAATTTGAACAGGCAAGGTATGAAATAGAGAGTAGAAAATGAGATACTTTGAGAGAATGCAGATAAAGGGGTTAATTGCATTTTTCCGTTTAGGCCAATCATCAGGCCTTAGGGCTAGAGGAGGGAAACAGTATTGCTTTTTATTTCTCTAAAGAAATTAAATGAGTTTGGATCAATGACCTGGGCATTTAGGGTTCCTCTTTGAGATGCTTTGTTAATCACTTAATTACCTAAAGAAAAACTCATCAGTTACCAAATTCTAGACATATGCTTATAGGAGTCCCAATTATGGCTTTATTCTTAAATATTAATATGTGTTTAAGAATCATCAGACACTTGAGGAATGCCTTCACAGGAAAAAATACAGTAAAAACAAACTGGAAAAAAATCTGGAACAAATAGTGTTAATACTGAAAAAAAAAATTTAACAAAATTATAAAACCTTTAAGTATTTACAGAGAGAGTTGAGAAGATATGTACAACATTACAATATTGACATAGCATGTGTGAAAGGAGTAATTAATACCAAAAATGAATTCATGGTAATTAAGAAAATGTGATGGTTGAAATTTAAAGTTCTATAGGAAGTTTGGAAGGTAAAGTTGAAGAGATAATCCAGAATGTAAAACAAAACCCAAAGCAGTGTGTCAGAAAACAAATGAAATGGCTCAATGTAGATTTGTTATTTGGCTAACTGGAGTTCCAGAAAAAGAACTTAGAGACAAGTACATTGGAGGAAATTTTCAAAGATTTAATAATAAAAGAATTTAACAGAACTAAAAGTCATGAACTTGAAGACTGAAAGGCCTCAAGAAGTGATCAGCACAGTAAATATAAAAGATACTCAGCTAAATGCATCATTTTGCAATTTGAAAATACCAAGAATGAAAACACAGATTTGACTACCTTCTAGAGAGTAAAAACTAGTATACCTACCTACAAAGGAATAACTATCAGTCTTTGTATAACTAACAGTGGGTAGTGAAGTATAATGAATTAGTGTCCTATAGATTTGATGGGAAATTATTTTTACTGTAGAATTTTATACTCATCCAAATGGTTAGTGAAGTGTGAGAGTAGGAAGAACATTTTCAAGCATGTGAGGACCAAGAAGATTGACTTGTCCACACACCCTTTCTGGGGAAGTTACTAGAGAATATGTGGCAGGAAAATGAGGGTGTAATATAAAAAGATGAGATGATAAAGGATCTAAAACTGGCTTTTACTTAAGCTGAAGGAAAGTCCCAGAATCATTGCTGAGTAGTAGATATTATAGATATGTCATCACCCAGAAGGAAATTTCCAGTAAAAATGGAGATTTGAAACTAACCTTGAGAATTTGGGACCATTTTAAGTAGTGATTAAAGTAGACAAGGCAAAGAACATAAAAAGGGAATTAAATACTCCAGGAAAATTAAAAATAATCTGAACAGGAAAGGGCACAGAATCGTTGCAAACTGCTTACATGTGCACTGAATACAATTTCTGTTAATTATGCTGAAAAAAATGATAGGAGGGAAGAAGAGTTTACAATATTAGATTTGTAAGAGTACGTTAAAAACATTATTTAAAAAAATATTGTTTTGTTTGTATTTTATTATTCCTAAGTGAATAAGGGAAATGTATTAGGACTTATTATAATTGACAAATCATCTTACTCAGGCTATTTTAAGCCAAAAAAGAAGAGGGGAACAGATTTACTAGATGACTAAAACCATGGAAAAGCAAGGACTAGAACAAGTTCCAGGATTTTCTATATCCAGAGAATAAAGTATCATCTAGAACTATTCTCTCCCTTTCCATCTTTCCTTTCTCGGTTTCATTGTCTCAGGGCTGCTAATAGTTATGGGATTAAGCTTAGTTTATTGACTCAGGGAGAAGACTCCCTTCTCCCCATTTCTAATCCCCAAAATATTTTGGGAACTCAGGACCATCTGAGGTTAGTGCCCACTACTTGGACTAGTTACTGTGTTGAGGAGTCAGTGGTAAGATTTTTGGGTCAGTCCGATGACAGGCTCCCAACCCACGGCTAGGGAAAATGAAGGTGCTATATTGGCAGCCCACCCAAACCATGAAAATGTAGGAGGAATAAGCAGTTCCCTCAAGAAGTGAATGAGGTAGTGTGAAAGAGAGCTGGCTAGGTTGGCAAACATAAGATAGGTCCACTACAAGGAGTAATTTTATACATTCTTTTGAAGACTACCAAGAGTTCAGTAATTCTCTCTCTGATTTCCAAAAGAAATACATGATTATAAAGAAGACATATTCTTCTTTCAGTACCTATTTGGATTTTTTTTGCTTTCACCCATATAATCTTTAACTTTAGCATTACAATGTGAAAATGCTTTTAAGGCTTTCAAGGAAAAGTTTGAAAATTTTTAACTAATTTATTGACTTGTGTTTCATTGCTTGCTAGCCTTTTTACTATTGTCATGAAAAGAATAATGTGCTGGGCAGAAGCAAATATTATCCAAGATAGTCTAGGCAAAAGAAAGTAAATTATCTTAGTGGTTTGTCAATAGTATTGCTTCTTGTAAGGAAAACTTCCTTCCTTATGTGAATTTATTTTAATAGAAAAATTAACTATATTTTTTAATACCAGAAGAAAAATAGGGAAATAACAACATGGTGGTACTATTAATAGTAGTAATTTTGTAATAGTATTCTATGTTATTTAAGTAAATACATAAGCCAGAAAATTCTTCTAACAATTGCTACATAGTATTTGTTCACTCATTCTGTAAATCTCTGTTCTTGGTTATAGGGAAGATAGACAAGTCCTTGTTTTCTCAAAGACCTTACAGAGCTAAAAGATATTAAATAAGCAGTCACACTATTATGTAATTATAATTATGAAAGAGTTACAGGGTATAATGAGAGTATAAGAGGGTACTCGATTTGGTCTGAGAAGTCAAGGAAAATTTGCTGGGTGAGCTAACACTTGAGCTGAGCTCTGAAAAAATAATAGTGATAAATTGGAAGTTGCAGAAGAGCCTCCCTGGAATGGGAAACAGAATGTTGAAGTGTATCCAGGTGCCTTGACCTAGATGCCAGGATATTACTGGATTTCATTATAATTCACAAGTCATATTAAACAGTGACTCCCACGTTTTACAGATAGAGTGAAGTCAAACACCCTGAAACTAAGTGGACCTTAGTGGCAGAGAATATAGACTTTACCAGTTTTACATAAAATAAAAGCAAACTTTAATGTTACCTTCCCAGTGGGAGTAGCCCAATGGAAAATAGATGTTCATAGATTTCAGCCTTCCAGGCAGGGTTCAGTGATGGATGTAGATATTAACCTGGAAGCTTCTAGGTTCACAATGATCTACATGGTGTACCGGAGGAAGGAACTCAGCTAATAGTATTTTGTATGTGCAGTGGCAAATGTAAAAATATATACTCTAATATGCCAAGTTGCCTCAGACGGAAAACCGAAGAGCCTTCTCTTTCATGGAACAAAGTGGGTATAATCAGCCTCTTATTTAGAGTGGCTAGATATTCATGTGCTAGGCTACATATGTAACGATAGATCAGTGATCCTTTCTGATTATGTTGCTAAATTGTACTGTATTTCAAACAGAATTTGTGTCTTAACTTCAGTCTCTATTGTTTATAACTTGGGCCTAGGCTTCAACTAATTTTGGAAACAGCCTTGAAATCAAAGGAAGAAAGGCTAATTATAAAGGGCCATTTGTTTTTTTGGGGTTCCAGTCCCCAAAAAGGTGTTTGTCTTAGGGCCCCAATCCATATGTCCTTTATATGTAGCACTCTTACTGCTTTTTGACTCTTTAATTATTTTGATCCACACTTACTCATTACATTCTCCAAGTTTGTATCCATTCTCTTTACTAATCATTTGTGGCAGTTGACCTTATTTATTTTATAGAGCAGTGTAGGCTGTCTAGCTTTCTGTTTCTTTGTTTTCTCTCTGGGAGGAAGACATATATTCCTTTTTGAGGCAACTGATGGTCTTAATTCAATTCCATTTCTCAACATTGTTTTGTTTTTCTTTATTGTTACATTAGTATATATTGTTTTCAGGATTTGTAGTAGCTGAAGTCAGCATTAGAGATAAACCTG